GAGAAGAATGCAAGATTGACTAGATGGAGTTTGATTCTGCAACCATATAATTTCACTATACAACATCGGAAAGGGGTAGCAGATGCACTTTCTAGATTGGAGAGGAAGAGCACTTCGTGCCAGAGGGGAAGGGAGGAAATGTAAGAAGTTGTTTCTAGATGGATCCGGAACTCTCTGTGTACTATTGTAATTATATATTATGTGTTTATTCAAGTATATTCTAGAACAATCATGTAAAGTATTCTTGTATGTTATAGAACCTTCTGGACATTTATAATATCTATATAAGTGTGTTGTTAGTTAGTTGTGAGTTTAGTTTTTAGTTTTTGTTTTGTTAGTTGGTTTTTGAGCTCAGTTGAGTTTCGGGTTGATTAAGAATAAAGTTTGGTTAACAGATAGTTGGAGCGTCTGTTACAATCAGTCTACTGAATCTATTACAAGAGAAGAGACACTTGTACATTATTCACTCTCTTTTCTGTGTTCTCCTTTCCTTAGTAAGAGACTCCAAACTTAGAAGTATTGGCTTATCTCACATGCAAGCTATAAAAAGTGGCAAAAAGTCAGATCTCAGATCTGACTTCCTTAATTATGCTACTGTCAAATGATATGGCAGATCATGCCTCCTGTATCAATAAAATGGATTCTGTCTTAAATAATTTCATTTGCAAATTCTGTTGGCTATTATCATTTGAGGAGTCCCAAGTTATAAGTTTGAAAGTTCTGGCATAGACTTAGGAATAAAGCTACATGTACATAAATCACAATAACTAAGAAAATATTGCACATTACAATGCTTGGTTACAATAGTATGATTTGACTGTTTGAAGTGATGTGGAGGTGAAAGATTAGGCAGAAGCAACTGAAGCATTGGTTTTTTTACATAAGTATTTTAATAAAAGTATGGTTTTTATGATCATTCCTCTGTTTGTTTATTTAGCCTCTCTATGTAGTGCATTTCAAAAGTATTCCTACCTCCTCTACTAGATACTTTATCCTTGAATGAGGCAGTGTCTCTTAAACTCACCCGTTGATATTCTGTAAATTTGAACTTGTGTAACAACTTCATTTATATGCATTGTTTTAATCTTCAGTATTGAAACCTTCTTTTGTTTTATAGCATTTGTTTGTTTAAACCTTCTACTTGAGACTCTTAAGTTTTGATCTTCGCCAGCTATACAAGTAAATTTTATTATTCTTACTAACATGTATAACTTACATTGTCTTCCACCTTAGCTGCTATTATAATGGATAAATTGCTGCCTTTTACTATAAGTTTCTATACTTGTGAAGTGGTGAAGTGCTAAACCTTGCTCAATGCTT